TTTTTTTTTAATCATCAATTTTAATCCACCCTGGTTGGGACAGCCTTTGAATTCTGTGAAGTATTTATGTTGCCTCTGCCACTTTGAGCTTGTGGACGCGAGTTGTTTAGAACAATAACCTTGGAACTGCAGAGCTGGAAGAGACCCAAGGGGTCATTGTGTCCAGCCCCTCTCAAGGAGGGCCAGTGGGGAACTGAATTCCCAACCTCTGGCGTGTCCAGCCCCGCTCAAGGAGAGCCAGCGGGGAACTGAATTCCCAACCTCTGGCTCTGCAGCCAAAGACATAAGCCACTGAGATAAGTTACTACAACCAAGTTTGCCATGCAGATGCATTACATTGTGTGTTGGCCCCACTCCCTTCTTTGACATCTGTCAAACAAATGTTCAAACCTCCTGCCATTTTGAATGCTGGATTTAATCTTAGGTTGCAGCTACACAGTTAAACTGAAATGTAGCCACTGTGGCTTTCTGCAGCCTCTTTTGTGTTTTTCTGTTTGGATTAGGTGATCACATGGAGATTGTTCATTAAGTTTACAGTTCATTAAAGCTGGTGGGCTGTTCAAAGTGTTTCATGGCACTAGGAAAAATAGACAGTTTTCCAAAGTTCTCTATAACATACAAACACACTTATATGCATTGGAAATATAGTAATCTACTGCAGTTTGTCAGAGTTGTTTCTGTCTCATATTAATTTTTATCTCTTTTTTGTCCACACATAAGTGATCTAGTACTAAACCTGGTAGTTTATTTTTTAAAAAAAAACCCGAGGGGTGACTAGGGATAAAGATCATGGGGGTGTATGTGTGAGTGTTCCTGCTATCCAAAAACATCATGCTCAGCTTAATACATCACCATAATACTGCTCACAGCCATACAACTGAAAAATCTGTTGAAATCATTCCAACTTAAAAAAAGTAGACACTTCTATCAGCCCCCCCAAAAAATCCTGAAAAAGCTTTGTGTCAGGAGTAAAAACGGCCCAACTTATTCAAATTGGCCTTTGCATAATGTGATCAGTTTTTTAAAAAAAGCAAATTAATCTGTTTTACACTGCAAATCCTGCAGTATTTGACCATGTAGTCTAATTTACACCTCCTAATCAAAAACAGATAACGTTTGCAGTTTCAGCAGTCACCATCATGTCTGATCTTTAGTTTCATCAAACCAAACAGACATTTCTGAAGCAGCGGTTACAAATAGATATTGTGCTTCTAGGACTCGAATGGGGTGAACTGGTTTGCCTTCCCTACTTTAAGGAAGACCGAGAAGGAGGAGTAGTGTTGGCTGGACTGAGCGGCCCGTTTAAGGTGGTGGTAGCAGAAGCAAACCTGCTTTCCTAGTCAGGAGGGCTCTCCTAGAGCTTCAAGATTACAAGCAGGAAGGAGGCAACATTATCACCACCACCACAACGTCAGAGGCAGAGTGAGACAGAAAGCAAACAGCCTAAAGAAAAGGCAGAACATAGTTTTTGTGACCTCCTTGAGGTGGAAAAGGAGCCCAGGATTGCTATTTACCTTCACAGCAGGCAGAAAATGATTGCTATTTTGTGCTATCAAGTTTTTGCCAACTTGGGATGACCTTATGAACGAACGACTTTCCAGAGGCAGCAATTTAGCAAGAGTGTTATGAAGCCATTAAAGTAGCAGCACCGAGCAGTCTTGCTCAGAATAGAGGAGAAAACATCCCAGCAATCAGGCAGCAATCTCTTTAGGGCTGAAACAATGCTTGCAGAATCTTCAAGCACAGTCGTTCCCAACCTTGGGTAACTGAGATGTTCTTGGACTGCCGTTCACAGAAGCCTTCACTACCAGCTGTGCTGGCTGGGAATTTTGGCAGTTGCAGTCCAAGAGCATTCGAGATACCCAAGGTTGGGAACCATCATGCTAGCTGAAGTTCTCAGTCCCGCCAAGCCCCTGCCTCAATCAATCAATCAATCAATCAATCAATCAATCAATCAATCAATCAATCAATCAATCAATCAATCAATCAATCAATCAATCAATCAATCAATCAATCAATCAATAAAAAAAAAAGATAAGCAGACATGGAGGATTGGGAGGTGGAGGGGTTAATAGGGCATGAGATAGACCACATCAAGTGATGAGTTGGTGGCAGTAGATGGCTGGATGTTTCCTGCTGTAATTTTTTGTCCTGTTGCCTTTTTCAGCTCATGTAAATTCAAGCCAGTGGCTTCCTTCAGGGAGTCTTGATTTGATGTAGGATGCACCTGTTTGCCTTTCTGGCACTCCAGGATATCCACAAAGGTCTTCTCCATCTGAGAATCCTGCCTTCTTATTATGTACCCAAAGCAGGACAGCCTCAGTTTCAACATTTTTTGCCTCCAGAGACAGTTCAGGCTCGATTTGATCTAGGACACACTTGTTTGCCTTTCTGGCACTCCAGGATATCCACAAAGGTCTTCTCCATCACCACATTTCAAACTTTCACATACTGTACATGGCAATTGAAAATACTAGAGTGTGGAGAGAGATATTTAATAAAGAAAGCAAAAGCATTCTGACACCTTTAAGACTCAGTCTTTAGACATCCTGACACTTGATTATCTTTTCTAATTTCTTCCTTTGCTGCCCTTCTTGGTCTCAATCCTCTTCTGATTTCTCGGCTAAAGTCTCCCTTTGGATTGATGATTGAACCAAGGCATACAAAATCTCTAACTATTTCAATTTCTTCATTGTCTTGCTTAAGTTGTGTAGTTCTTCTGCAGTCATGACATTTGTCTTCTTAATGTTCAGTTGCAGTCCTGCTTTAGCATTTTCTTTTTTCACTAAAAGTCATTTCAAGTCCTTGCTGCTTTCTGCCAGTAAGATGGTGTCATCTGTATATCTTAAATTATTGAAGTTTCTTCCACCAATTTTTTTCACTTCTCCTTCATCTGAATTTAGCCTGGCTTTCTGTATGATATATTCTGCGTACACATTTAACAGAGAAGGGGATATAATTCACCCTGTGCCTATAGGAAACCAATCTGGCTCTACATATTCTGTCCTAAAGGTAAGACAATATGAGTTATACATCAGGACAATCAAGTGCTGAGCTACATATTCTGTCCTAAAGGTAAGATAATATGAGTTATACTTCAGGACAATCAAGTGCTGAGGCACACGAGTCTCCTTCAGAACCAGCCATATTTTCTCATGATGCACACAGTCAAAAGCTTTGCTGTAATCTATAAAACATGGACTGATCCTTTGAAACTCTTTGGTGTGCTCCAGTGGCCAGCAAATATTTGCAGTATGGTTTTCAGTACCTTTTCCTGCTTGAAATCCAGCTTGAACTTGAGGCATTTCTCATTCCATTTAAGGTAAATGTCTTTGTTGAAACACCATGAGCATCACTTTGCTTGAATGGGAAGTTAAAGCAATGGTTCTATAGTTACTTCACTCATTGGCATCTTTAGCAGCTGGCTAATGAGCACTTTCCTGGGCACCTGCTTTGGGAGGGGGGGCTGTAACTCAGACATCCCAAATCCAATCTTTGCCAAACTTGGTGAGGGTGAGGAGAAGAGTCAGCCCAAGAGCCAGTCCAAGTTGGGTGAATATTGGGTTTGGAAGTTATGGCCAACATATGAATTCCAATGCTAATAATAGTTTGGCATTTCGTTTTATTCTGGGCAGGCAGAGTTATGGCCAACATATGAATTCCAATGCCAATAATAGTTTGGCATTTCATTTTATTCTGGGCAGGCATGTTTCCTTGAACCACCATGAAATAAACCACAACATGGCCCGATTTGGGTGATTATTTTGTTTTTGCCTCGTGGTTCATTTTGTGCCCCCAAACATAGCCTTTGGATAGACATGGACTACACTAAGAAAGATCTTGAATGTATTATAATGAAATTTTCTGTGATGCGTACCTGAACCAAATCAGGGCCCCCAAACAAAGCCTTTGGATAGACACGGACTACACTAAGAAAGATCTTGAATGTATTATAATGAAATTTTCTGTGATGCGTACAACAAATGTTTCTGTTTGGATTCCTGCCTTGAGGTGCAGTGAGGTAACCAAACCCCCACCCCCAATTATGTGTCATTCCCATGGAAGTATTTTATGAAACATGTGATCCAAGCAACCAACATAATAATGCTACTAGGCTGATCCAACTGCATCACAACTAGCTTTTGAAACAGGGGTGAAACTTTGACAAAGAAAAAAAAAGTAGAAAGCTATCCATGCAGGAGTGAGGAACATTTAGCCCCTAAAGATGTGTTGGAACCCATAATTCTTTACCATTGGCAATGACAGTTGGGATTCTGGGAACTGACACCAAAAATATTAGAAGCACCCATGTGGAAGTAGAGAGAAGATTGAGCCTGGCACTCATCCAATGACTTGGATTCCAGTTTGAATCTATAGTTGGCAAAAGTTATTAGCACTTTTGAAAAACGTAACATCACATCTAATTCTTATGTTATAAAAATTCATCATACAGATATTAGGATGCCCAGTGAATAATGGAGTAACGGACTAAAGAAACTTGGGTTACAATGCCCATTCCACCATGGAAATTCCCTAGGAGAGAGCTAAACTGTAAAACTAGTGTTTAAATATCCAACTTAACTTAAAAGCCCTACTAGGGTTGCTATAAGTCAGTTGCAACTTAACAGAGTATAAAATACAGTAACATAATCATGATTCTTTGTTTTTCTTCTCTTCAGTGGTTACTATGGATCAAATTTTAGTAAAATAGTTTACCTTGAGAATGTCTGCAATGTTGGTTTCAGTAATACAATTTATTATTGTTTGAGAATGTCTGCATTTGAGAATGTCTGTTGGTTTCAGTAATACAATTTATTATTGATCAATCGATTGACTGATCATCTATGGGTTCAATTGGAGGCTGAGCATCCTGACTAGCAAGACATCACTCAAATTGCATTTTCTGCTTCAAGAAGGGCACAGTCAAAGTGAGAAGAGAGTAAGAAGGCACTGTTGTATCCTGTTGGACAGCTTAACGAGCCTTCGTAATTTACCCTCAGGTAGCTATTGTCGTGACGGATGGACGGCCCCAGGATGCAGTGAAGGATGTAGCAGCAAGGGCAAGAGCACTTGGTATTGAAATATTTGCTATTGGCGTAGGACGTGTGGATATGCACACCTTGCGGCAGATAGCCAGTGAGCCTCTGGACGAGCACGTGGACTATGTGGAGAGCTACAGTGTCATTGAGAAGTTAACCAAGAAGTTTCAAGAAGTTTTCTGTGGTAAGTCCTAAAGGGAGTTTAACAGTGGAAAATGACTGCTTGAGACAGTTTTCCTCTCTTTACAAAGTCTGGAAAGAAAGGATAGATACGGTAAGAAATGAGAGTACCAAGCAAAGAAATTCCTTTTTAAATGTTTTTTTTTTAAAAAGAAAAAGAATTATTGCGAAACAACTGAAGTAGTCAAAGACACACCTGCCCTGTTCACCTGCCTCCACTCTCTCATCTGTGAGGTGTTTTGGAAAGCCGGGGCTATAGAGCCTGAGAACTACAGTAGATCCCAGATTCGATCTGTAATGGTAATGCTTCTGACGGAAGCTGATTCTAGGATATAATTGCATTGCTAGTAAGGGTGATGTTTTTGGCCTCTTTAGCACCATGTTGTTTTATAAAGCTCATTTTTTACTACATCTTCCCCACCCCTCACTTTCACATTGTCATTTCGCAAGACAAGGCAGTGTTATAACCCTTAGACTTTCCCTGAAAACCTCTTTCAGTCTAATTTGCACAGTTGGCCATGGTCTTTATTTTTGAACATTTAAAAAACCTAACACAGTAGGCAATTATTTTTTATGCTCTAGGCTCAGTATGTGGAAATCTGCATCCCCCCCCCATCATTCCCTCCATCTCCTAAGCTCAAATAGAGCATGAGCTTGGAAAACGGAACTTGGGAAAAGTTGTTTTGGGGGGTTTATGAATATCAGAAACCCCAGATACTGGTCTGGGAGTTGTCTAAAAAATAAAGCTTCTTGAACATCTGCCTTGGTAAGGATTAAAAGAAATGTCTTTCCCTCTGGATTTTTTGCAATGAAAAATCATTTTCTAATTGGAAACAAAGCAGGGCTACTCTATTTTTCCACCTGCAGGTAAAAAAAAAAGTGGGGGCTAAGAAGGGTAATTTTTTTTTAATGCAACACCATCCCTTTTGTCCTTTTTTATGCTTACTTATAAAATTAATTATGGCTTTTAAAAATGGATTTAAAATGCTATCTGATAATGGTGCAAGTTATAACCCTACATAGTTCTGTCTCCTGAATTCTGTTCTGTGCAACTTGGAAAAAAGAGCACCCCACTGATTTTCTACGAAATCCTGCCACTTATGTGTCAGGATTTGTAGGGTATATCTCAAAACTCCATGTTATTCTCCTACAGCTGTGTCAGACCTTTGTGCTACTGGAGACCATGACTGCCAGCAGATCTGTGTCAGTTCAGGAGCCTCCTACACCTGCGCTTGTAAAGAGGGATTCACGCTGAATGCTGATGGCAAGACCTGCAGTGGTAATTAATTCTGTTTCAGCTGGGCAAGTGCATTAACATTGAAATCACATAAATGCACCCGCATTTCAAAAGTCAGGAAGTAGTCTGTCTTTCTGACGTTAATCTTATCTCATGATATACAGACAGACAAGACACAGAGTGCTTTACTGCTTTTCCTAATAAGGGCCCCAATCCTCAGTTCTCCCTTACAGTATCACCCAGACCAGTGGTCCCCAACCTTTTTGGCAATGTGGACCAGTTTAGCATGCATGCAGGGGGCATCCATACGTGCATGTGGGGGGCATGTGTGCATGTGTGCATGGAGGAGTGTGTGCGTCTGTGCATGTGGGGTGTGTGTGTGTGCATGGGGGTGTGCATGCATCTGTGGGGAGGAGTGGAGATCAGTCTCTGCAGCCCAGTTCTGCCAAGGCCATGGCCTTTTACCGGGCCGCGGACCAGGAGCTGGGCACCCCTGATCTAGATGATGCTTCTAATTCCTCTTTAGAGGTTAAGACAGCTCTAGATACAAAGTTGTTGAGAATTATATGGGCAACTGGGAACTAAAAAACGTAGAAGAGAAGACTGAAGACCACATGGTGTTGTACAACTCTTGTGATTCTGTGGGGCTCTGAGTGTTGCAAACACAATGAACTTTTCAAAGATTTGAAATTTTAAATCAGTTAACAAAAGCAACAACAACAACAAAAACCCAATACCAGCATAGCTCAAACTGGATGCTTCAAAAATGTGTGCCCCTGAGTTCCATGCACCAACAAGGTGCCAGGTGAAGAGCTGCTTACAAGATAATAAAGTGCTATGAAGTCTCATTAAACCAAAATGTGTCAGGAATAAAATCTATTCATATATTTTGAAGTCTTTACGAATTCATAACATCACAACAAAGATTTTTTCCTCCATTAATAATAATTATGTGTCCTCAAATTGCTTGTGACCCATGACAACTGTTCAGGGGTTCCTAAATATGTAGATTTCAGAAGCGGTTGGTCTACCATCTCTTTCGGCTGGAGGCACTCTGGGACTGTGCCGTTTGCTCAGGTCTCTACAGGGTGACTGCTTTCTTTTGAGACAGAGTGGAGAATTCCTGACCTCTGGCTCTGCAACCAGATATACAACTGCCTGAGCTTACCTGAATATAATGTATAGGAGAGAAGATTCCGCCCAGAGACCTTTGATTAGTGTGGGAGGCATATGTTAGATATATACATAAATAAAGATTCTCGTTAAGCAGTGAGGAAAAGTGTCTTGATGGTTGGAGAAGTTAGTTAATGGGACACAGTATCTAAAGGGACAATGAGTTCTCTCTGACTTGAGCTCTTTAAGCAGACAACAGACAATTATTTGGAGCCTTGGAATTTCTTGGATCAAGCAGACAGGGTTGGATGAGATGGCTTCTGAGAGCCTATCATTGTTTTCTTGACCCTCTTAGAACTCCATGTTCTGTCTGCTGGCATATTTAAATTCTTCACATTGAAACAAGCGGCCTATATTTGCAGAATCAAGGTGCAATTTAATCCCGGTGTCTAGACAGATTAGCCGTCTGTCTAAATGCAGAGTTGGTAACTGTGACCTTCCACAGTTTGCATAAGCCCTCTTTAATTTAAGCAGGCTTGGGCCAATTAGAGCTGTAGTCCAAAAGCAACTATGAGGTGACTGTCCATTCTTGTTCTTAAATGGACTACTCATGTTACTTCTCTACTGAAATTATCCATCAATTTCCCATGTGGCAGGTGAGCGCATGGAAGTGTGAGTCAAAGATCACATCAGCAAGTGGTGATAACAAGTGACTTATTCATACAAAGCCATGGGCCAGTTGCCTAAATATTCCACCCAGGGTACTCTTGCCCCCTCCACTCCTCCACATGCGTAACTTCCTCAGACCTTAACTAACCTTCTTTGAGGGCCTGCAAAGGGCCAGAAAAAGCAACAGAGTATACAGATAGACCAGTTTAAAAGTTTGCACTGACTGCCACTGGCAGAACAAGGAATTTGCTTGGAAATCTGAACATTTCAAGTAAACAAAGTCTACTCAATGGCAGGAGCCAATCACTCAGAGACAACCAATGCCATTATTAAATGCTGTGATTTGGGACCAAACTGGACCACTCTCCAAAACCCCGAGTGCCCGCTAATTAAAATGCCTCTCTTTCATTTCTTTTTCGATGATAAATAATTGTCACCCTCTTGCACAGATAAAAATAACAAATTAAAATTAAACACAAAGAACACTTTCACACTTGAATTTATTTATTTATTACTTACTTACTTACTTACTTACTTACTTACTTACTTACTTACTTACTTACTTACTTACTTACTTACTTACTTACTTACTTACTTACTGTATTGAATTTGTATCCTGCCCATTTAGTCAACTGAAGTTTAGAGTTCTTGGAGAAATAACAAATCTCTTGTGCTAGGTATCTAACATTGCCATGGTTAAGTGACAGCAAGGGTCACATGAGTTATCACATGACAGCAGAAGCAATTGCACGGATAATTTAGAAAATAACTGACATTGCAAGGATGCTGATTTGAATTGGGATGTACAATCAGGATATTAATGGGTGGTTTTAAAAAAGTGAAATAATAACCCACATCCTATTGGTGTTTGTGTAAGGTTTGTATAACTTGCTGTGGCTAATTACAGCTAATTCATCAGGTGTCAGGTTGTGGGCTTTTATTTAAGTGATGACTACTTCAGCTCCTACCTTTTGTTTCTATTGCTTGCTTCTCTCTAGCCTGCAGCGGAGGGGCAGCCACTGATCTTGTTTTCCTGATTGATGGTTCAAAGAGTGTGAGGCCTGAGAACTTTGAGCTGGTGAAGAGATTCATCAACCAGATTGTGGATTCTCTGGATGTGTCAGAAAAAAATGCACAGGTGGGCCTGATCCAATACTCTAGTACAGTCAGGCAAGAATTCCCACTGGGGCAATATAAGAACAAACAAGACATCAAATCAGCGGTGAGAAGGATGTCCTACATGGAGAAAGGCACCATGACCGGCCAAGCTTTGAAGTACCTAGTGGACAGCTCCTTTACCCCTTCCAGCGGAGCAAGACCTGGGGTCCCCAAAGTAGCAATTGTATTTACAGATGGACGGTCACAGGACTACATCAATGATGCTGCCAAGAAAGCCAAAGAACTAGGTAGGCTTTTAGAAATCAGTACTAATTCAGACATAGGAATGTCAGCCAGATAAATTCTAGTTTATTAGACTGAGGATGCATGCTATATGCCTTCATTTCCTTTACCTCAATTTTGTAACTTTGACCCAGAGTGTCAAAGTATAGAGGATACACAAATTGTTACTTGGGCAGCTATTTATTTCTTGGTGTGGGCTATCCTGCATTTACAGGACTCAGGGTTGTATAATATTTTAGGCAACCATGCAGCAAATTTAATCTATTTCCCAAGCCCTGAGGTCATGCCTCCCACATCTCCCTTCCTATTATCCCTTCCTTCCTGGTTTGCTGCAGACATACCTACAATTTTCAAAGAAGCAGCATGCATAAGATTGGCAATTAAGCCAGGAAGATTGTGTAATTCTGCTGTATTTCCAGGGATTCAGCAGTGTGGTGAAGATACCACCTGCTTGCTTACCTACCTAGTTTGCTTGATTCCCATGTGGGCCTTGTGCTGGGTGGAGAAGGCACCCAGAGAAGATGAATGAGATCCTGCAGTGGCTAGAAGATGTGTGTGTGAGTGTGTGCATGTATGTGCACACACGTGCGCACTGGACATGTTCCATGCTGCTTGCCCTGGGTACCAAAATAATTGTGGCTTTGCTTTACCTCCTCCAGATGCTAGAGTCAAGACTACAGCAGTTTACCAAACAGCAATTTGCATTCCATTCAAATTAAGAAACCATGATTTATCTCTGCCTATAAATCAGGATACAAATTCAAGATATATTCTAAATATAGATTAGTGTACCACTGTTGCATCCATTCTTTGTGTAAAGAAGGTTTGAACAGGTGTTGTCCTTTCACACTCGATGGCAGGTAACAATCTTTTGTTTGTTTCAGGTTACAAGATGTTCGCTGTTGGAGTCGGCAACGCTGTTGAAGATGAACTTCGAGAAATTGCCTCAGAACCAGTGGCCGAGCATTACTTTTACACTGCTGATTTTCGAACCATTAATCAAATTGGGAAGAAGTTGCAGAGTAAAATATGTATTGGTATGTGAAGTTTATATATGCACAAGTTTATATATTTTCCCCTGGCAAACACTGGAGCATAATGAGAGAACCAGAACAGGTTAGAAGCATGGCAAACCTATGTCATATATGGGTGGAACAGGATGTTTTAAGTTTATATAACTTAGGATAATTGTCAAGGAAATATCATGGCACAAACATGGAGGGTTATTCAACCCTTCAAAACGTATTTAGGAATTGCAGAGGGGACTTCAAGAGAAAGGGGGAATCCATTTTCTCCCTAGTTTAAGGGCATCATTGAATATACTGTATGAGCAAAAATGTTCAATTCAGTTACCAAGTGAACTTCGCCAATCCCACCTCATGCAGATCTGTTGGCTCAACATCATTTACATAAGTGTTGGCTTACTACAGTATTTAGGAGTCCTGCTTTTTGTTGGGGCTAGCCATAGGATATTGGCCTGCATCCCTACTTCCTGACCCTAAACATCAACTACCAACACAGTGTGCCATTAAAAAAAACATTAATTACAACTTATAACTCCCACTTCCAGACAAACAAGTTGGGGAAACCTACACATACATAATGCGCTTTAAAAATGTTCTCAGAAATGTTTACTTTGGGAGAAAAAGGCACCCAGAAACACTTCAATCACTGAGATATAGCTTGGAAGAATATCTATATTTGAAAAAGGAGACATGACATGTACAGAATTTGTGTGTGTGCCTATTTTCATAGAGTTACCCATGACTGAGCATGCCTATTTGATGCAGAAATGGGGCAAGACAGATCTATCCATGGGGAAATGGGAACATTAGCACAACTGAGCTTGACAGAATGGCCCACCCCTCTTCAAAACCATAAGTTCATATAGTATTATTGATTTTTGGGGAAGCAGTTGTCCCTATAATTTTGGCTTGAGGGAGGTAGTTTTGTATGCTTTAATTGCTGTCCAACCCAGAAGACTATTATCTAATGAGCCATTTTGTTTTCTTTTTCTCAGAGGAAGATCCATGTGAATGTGAAGCTATTGTGAAATTCCAGAAAAAGGTTGACAACCTCATAAAGGCATTGACACGGAAACATATCCTTTTGACAGCTACTTAATACAGAGTATTCTTGAGTATTCATGCTTTAGTGGGGAGCAGGATGGAAGGAAGAAGCGACTCTTTAGCAGAATGACGTCTCTAGTGTGCTTGGAAAATGGGAAGACAGATAATATTCCTGGTTCTGTTGGTAGAGGGGATTAGAGACAAACGAGGATGGGCAACTCTGTTTTATATCAGTAGGAAAGAATGGAGCTTAGCATTTAAAACTTTCCTAGTTCTGCATAGCAAGATGCACATTTGCCCTCAGCAGCTCTAAGGGTGATGATCTCTAAAAATAGCAGGAAGCATTCCATAAGGTAAGTGGCTTTGGCAGTTCTTATTTACTCATATCTGGCTGAACTGTGTACAGTATTTGATTGGGTAGCAAGGCTTAGTATTTGCCTGATCAATTAATATAGTGAGATAAAAGGGTAAATATCTAGAAAGTGAGAGGGAGCAAATAATCATGTAATGCAACTTTATTCAGGGCAGTTGAGTAAGGCACATGTTGAAATTTCTTTCAATAGATCAGTTTTGTGAGTAATTTGAGGATAGTGCAAATCTTGTCCAGTTGGCCTCACTATAATCGTCACTATAAAGACAATTTGTTTTGATTTGTGATTCATCAAGGTCGACAAATCATGAATAATAAATTTATGATTTTTTCTGGTGAATCAATTCATCATTTCTGCTTTAAAACCCTATAAAACAATCCCCTAGAGACACCAAAATTACAGAGAAGCTTTCCCTGGCTCTCCTATGCAAGCCCTGCATGTTTGGTGAAGTATGGGTTTTGGACATCCAAAAGTTATACACCCACAGATTAGGTTCCTAAGCAGCTGACTTGGGGAAACCCAATCATCAACCAACTTGGAGGGATTGTACCAGAGAGTCAAACCTTTCTGTGATTCCGGTGTCTCTAAGTGCTTGGGGGGAATTTTCCTCTGGAAGCCTTCTTTGTGGGTGTATAACTTGGACATCCAACAACCGATCTTCATCAAACTTGGAGGAATTGTAGAGGAGAGTCAGGGAAGCTTCTGTGCAATTTAGGTATCTCTAGGTGCTTGAAGGGCCATTTTATAGCCCAACAAATCAATGACTCAAAAATTACTAAATACTGTATTCATTGATTCCTATTTGTTGGAGGCATTGATTTGTACAAATATGAATTGATGAATTAGCTATTTTTGTTTAATTTTGCAATTCATTTTTAATTTGTGCCCGTCTTTACCTCAGTGAGGGACGTGGTAGCGCTGTGGGCTAAACCGCAGAAGCCTGTGCTGCAGGGTCAGAAGACCAAGCAGTTGTAAGATCAAATCCACGCAACGGAGTGAGCTCCCGTCGCTTGTCCCAGCTCCCGCAAACCTAGCGGTTCGAAAGCATGCAAATGCAAGTAGATAAATAGGTGGGAAGGTAACAGTGTTCCGTGTCTAAGTCGCACTGGCCATGTGACCACGGAAGATTGTCTTCGGACAAATGCTGGCTCTATGGCTTGGAAACGGGGATGAGCACTGCCCCCTAGAGTCGAACATGACTGGACATTAATTGTCAAAGGGAACCTTTACCTTTTTTTACCTCAATGTCACCCACCATCACTGTCTGTATGCATGTGTGGCCTGTCCATTGGTTGTTTCACCAATCACAGGGCACAAGCTACATGTCGTGTTGCTGCCATCAGTTGATTACTTAAACATTGTACATTATTAATCACAGAAGTCAAAGCAATGTGTAATTTTCAAAAGAACCCAATAGAAATTGTTTATTGTTGCTAGAAATGAAAGTTCACTCAGTGTTGTTAACTCTCAGCAAAACAACCTTCCTTTCTATTCTCTACCACCTTCCCAAGCTCTCTCTCAACTCCAAAGTCTCAAACTCCAATCTCTCTCCCCCCTGCAGAGACTCATATATCATGACTCCACCTCTCCAGCACTCCCATTGGTCCGTGCAGATAGCACATTAATATTCATGACCTGGGCAGATGCCATACCTACATTAACTAATGATTTGTATTCATTTAGGCACAGTTTAATCAGTGGTGTCCACCCTTTGCCTTCCAGATGTTCTTGGACTTCAACTCCCAGAAATCCTGGCCAGCAAATGTGGTGGTGAAGGCTTCTGGGAGCTGTAGTCTAAGAACATCTGGAGGGCCAAGGTTGGGCACCACTGGTTTAAATGAATTTTCTCATGCAGACCATAGGGGCACAAAGATGAGTATAGGCCTTGTTTCAGTCCATTTGTTAAGCCTGCTTAAACCAATTTGTAAGATTGTTTACATACCATTCCTGTGCATTCTATGCAGAAGATGCAGTGTGGAGAATATAGGAAGTTGCCTTATACTGAGTCATGCTACTGGCCTATCAAACTCAGTATTGTCACCTCTGATTGGCCACGGTGTTCCAGAGTTTAAGGCAGGATTCTCTCCTATCCCTGACTAGAAATATCTGGAATTCCTT